AATTTTATTTGAATATATTATTGTAATCATAAACACACTGGTTTGTAGCACAAACAGAGTAAATACTAAAAGTTTGACCATTTACTGTACTTTATTCTTGTATTTATTCATCTAACATTAGGGTGGCCATTTCTATACTCTGCAGGATTCATGAAGGCAGGATAAAAACCCTAAACCAGTCACAAAAAAAAAAAAACATTCCCATTAAGGGATGATATTTTTCACTTGAAATTGATTTCCAGGGACATTTTTCATCCTTTGCAAGGGCAAATTTTCTAATTTTATTAAATGTATGCATAATCTTTCATGTAAATTCATATATTTATTAAATAAATGCAATTAGAATAATAAAACGCTATATGCACCAGTCAAATGAAATCAGTATCAATATAATCCACGTTGGTACTTCATAAGTACAGACATTTAGATATATTTAGACACACTGTTTAATGCAGCCCAGAGATGCCATGAATGCATTTACACTACAGATACAATTGCATAAATAATGTTAACTAAAAACTACCAGTAGGTGGCGACAAGTCACTGTCTTAATGAGTGAGTCATTGATTCACTCATTCAACCAATTTGTTCAAAACGGTTGATTCATTCAGGAATAAAGTGAGCCATTTGCTGATTTCAGAAGTGTGTACTAGTAAGCATAGTATACTATTATGCAGTTTAGAATTTATGAATGGATGGATCTTTGACTAACCTGATTTGTTCGAAAACGCAGAATCCTTCAGGAACGAAACATCATTGTTATCGTAGGTGTAGTGATTGGCAAAATACAGCAGATCAGTCCATACTGATAATATTGTGCCTAAAATGGACGTCACTCAATAGTAACCTGAACATAACATTTACATTTATTTATTACTGTATATACCATTGTATAAAGTATAAAATAGAGATCTTAAAAGTAGGACAAACTGTTGCTGAAGCCTCTGCTGGTAGACAAACCTAAAACCGGACAAATGGCCACCCTGTCACACATAAAAACACCAAAAAATAGCTTACTTCCGTGCAAGATAAGGTGGATACTCTGTGCTAGACACTCCATAAACTGGTGATCTCTAGTTCATGTGCAGTGTTGTGTTCACCAGGGCTTCTTTGAGGAAGAGGAGAGTAAGGAGTTTATCTATAAAGAGCCGAAGCTCACAGGACTGTCCGAGATTTCTCAAAGACTCCTCAAACTCTACTCAGACAAGTTTGGAGCTGACAACGTCAAGATGATCCAAGACTCCAACAAGGTGTGTCCTGCTGGATCCGCTGTACCTTCTTTCTCTGACCTGTGAAGAATCTCTTGTCTGAATCACGGTGAAGCTCGTTTACAGTCACTAGGATGACAGTGTTGTTTACTGTGTGTTTTTTCGCAGGTGAATCCTAAAGACCTGGACCCCAGATTTGCCT